TTATTTTACTATTGCTGTGCAGCAGCATGGGAAGCAACCTAATAGCTGGGAATGAAGCATCTGTTTACTAATAATTCAGTCTGAATGATGTATCTGCCTAGGGCTGTGTGTGTGTGTGTGTGTGTGTGTGTGTGTGATGATTTCCTCTTCCTTACAAACTTATATAATCACAGACATAGGTCACTGATGGAAGTTCACAGACAGGATTCGTTCAACCACACTGAACCCAGCCAAAACTAAGATTAGGCCCCTACCTCACACCATACACAAAGTTTGACACTCAAAATATATCAAAAACCCAAATGTAAGAGCTAAAACTACAAAACTCTTATGAGGTAACGTAGATGTTCATGACCTTAGATAAAGCAATACAATGCTTTTTAAGATGTGACACCAAAAGCACAAGCAACAAAAGAAAACAATATGTACATTGATGTTATCAAAATGTAAATCTATTGTGCTATAGAAGGACACCGAAAAGACCATGAAAACACAACCCACAAACTGTGAGGAAATAACTGAAAATCACAAATCAGATAAAAGAGTCTTAACTAAAAATGTAAAGTTTTCTTAAAGCTTAACAACAAAAATACAAACAACCCAATTGGAAAATGGGTGGAGTATCTCAAGAGCTATTTCTCCAAGAAGATCTCTAAATGGCCAACAAGCACACGATGAGATGGTCAACATCCTTACTCACTAAGGAAATACAAATCAAAATCACAGTGAGATACCACTTCACAACCACGAAGATGGCTATAATAAAAAAGACAGTAACAAGTATTGGTGAGGTTGCGGGGATCTAGACCCCTGCAGCATTGCTAGTGGGAATGTAAAATGATACACAGACTTTAGGAAACAGCTTGGACGTTCCTAAAAAAATAAACATAGAAATACCATTTGACCCAGCAATTTCACTCTAGATCCTTGAGGAATCTCCACACTGTCTTCCACAATGGTTGAACTAGTTTACAGTCCCACCAACAGTGTAAAAGTGTTCCTATTTCTCCACATCCTCTCCAGCACCTATTGTTTCCTGACTTTTTAATGATTGCCATTCTAACTGGTGTGTGTGAGATGGTATCTCATTGTGGTTTTGATTTGCATTTCTCTGATGGTGAGTGATGATGAGCATTTTTTCATGTGTCTTTTGGCTGCATAAATGTCTTCTTTTGAGAAGTGTCTGTTCATATCCTTTGCCCACTTTTTGATGGGGTTGTTTTTTCTTGTAAATTTGTTTGAGTTCTTTGTAGGTTCTGGATATTAGCCCTTTGTCAGATGAGTAGATTGCAAAAATTTTCTCCCATTCTGTAGGTTGCCTGTTCACTCATGACAGTTTCTTTTGCTGTGCAGAAGACCATTTGTCAATTTTGGCTTTTGTTGCCATTGCTTTTGGTGTTTTAGACATGAAGTCCTTGTCCATGCCTATGTCCTTAATGATATTGCCTAGGTTTTCTTTCAGGGTTTTTATGGTTTTAGGTCTAACATTTAAATCTCTGGGCCAAAATGAGATGGGAGCATTTTCAGTATGTGGGGCTCTAGCTCACCCCATTTTCTCTTTTTAAAATTTTTAATTTTTAATTTTTTTTTGAGACTGAGTCTCTCTCTATTGCCCAGGCTGGAGTGCAGTGGCATGATCTCAGCTCACTGCAACCTCCACCTCCTAGGTTCAAGCAATTCTCTTACCTCAACCTCCAGAGTAGCTGCGACTACAGGCATGCGCCACCACACTGGCGTAATTTTTGTATTTTCAGTAAGGACGGGGTTCCACCATGTTGGCCAGGCTGGTCTCGAACTCCTGACCTCAGGTGATCCGCCCACCTCAACCTCCCAAAGTGCTGGGATTACAAGCGTGAGCCACTGTACCGGCCTGTAACTTTTGTTTTGTTTTGTTTTTTGAGATGGAGTCTCTCTCTGTCACCCAGGCTGGAGTGTGGTGGCGTGATCACATCTCACTGCAACCTCTGCCTCCTGGGTTCAAATGATTCTCCTGCCTCAGCCTCCCAATTAGCTGGGACTACAGGCACATGCCACCATCCCAGGCCAAGTTTTTATTGTTGTTGTATTTTTTAGTAGAGATGGGCTTTTCACCACGTTGCCCAGGCTGGTCTTGAACTTCTGACCTCAGGTGATCCACCCACCTTAGCCTTCCAAAGTGATGGGATTACAGGCATGAGCCACTACATTTGGCCTGTCACCACATTTTCCTGTGCCTCCCTCACTTCTCACTCCCATCTGCCTCAATCGAGTGATCTCAAGCCTCACATCGTCTCTTCCAGGAAGCCTCCCATGGCTCCACCACCCTGAGCTGAGTCACGTGCCTCTCTGGATCTGAGCTTCCCCCACCACACAGTGTGGTCACTGCCTGGTTACCACTCTGTGTCTCTTGCTAAACTGTAACATCCTGAGGGCAAGGACAGCATCTTACTGGGTCTGTGCTGCGTTTCCAATACCTAGAAAAGTCCTGGCATCTAGTAAATATTCAAGAAATGTACATTGACGAAAATAATGAATGAAGGACGTGTATGATGCCATGATACTCCATAAGGCAGGTGAAAAAATGGGAAAGGTGACATTTGCACTGAGCTTGAAGGGTGAGGAGGGGTCACCAGACACAGTGGCAAGCAGGGCATCCCAGCCCGAGGAATCAGCTTGAGTGCCCACAACAGGGTAGGGGAGCTGGAGAAGTCATATTGGGGACAGACTGTGAAGGGAGTTGGAGGCATCTTAGAATCTTTACTCTGGGCCCAAGGGGAGGAGGGTAGGCTGGAAGGAGAGGCCAGGAAGCGGCTGGGGCCTCGAGCTGGCAGGGACAGATGCCAGCCTGGACTGAGGGTCCGGCCAACCCTTTCCTCCAAGCCCAGCCTCCCAGGACAGCAGAAGACCCAGAATTTGGAGAAATTGGGCTGGACCTGCAGATATTTTCTCCTGAGACATTTCTTTGGCACAGCTCGAACCGGGAAGGGACATCAGAGGGACAGATGTTAAGCCGAGAGATGGAGCCAGGACTAGGAGAGAAGTGTTTTGTTGCTGCTTCTGGGTGCCCAGAGAAATGAGGACGTGGGGCTGGGTTAACAGGAAACAAGGGGGGTTGTGAGCCAGGAGATGAGGTGGGAGGACCAAGGTCACAGTTCCAGCTGCATCTTGCGGCCCTGCCTGGTGGGGGCGCCGTGACTCTGGACCAGTGGCTTGGCCTCTCTGGATCTCATGTTCCGTTTTGTAAAATGGGGCTGGATTATTCCAGGAAGAGACACATTATGTGTAAGGATCTTGTCCCAGAGTAGGTGTTTGGTCGGGGTGAATGCCACTTCCTCTTCCCCCATTTCATTTTTTTTTTTTTTTTTAGATGGAGTTCTGCTCTTGTTGCCCGGGTTGGAGTGCAATGGTATGATCTCAGCTCACCCCAACCTCCGCCTCCCGCATCCAAGCGATTTTCCTGCCTCAGCCTCCTGAGTAGCTGGGACTACAGGCATGCGCCACCACACCCGGCTAATTCTGTATTTTTAGTAGAGACAGTGTTTCTCCATATTGGTCAGGCTGGTCTCGAACTCCTGACCTCAGGTGATCCGCCCGTCTTGGCCTCCCAAAGTGTAGGGATAACAGGCATGAGCCACTGCACCCAGCCTTCATTTTTTTCTTAAACTGTGCGTGTTATTCCTTCATTCACCCCACAAATATTCGTTGAGCGCCTACTATGTGCCCAGCAGTGAGTGGCAAATAAGCAAAAAGTCTCTTTGACCTTCAACCTTGCGGCTCAACTCAGCTTTTCTGCCAGGCAGGGCCCTTGCATTTCTGAATGCTTCCACTGGGCTTCACCCAGGGATGACCAAAAAAATATGAGTTCCAGAAGATGCATTCCCCAAACGTGCATCAGCCCTTCCTGTGCACCAGAACCTGGGCTCACAACTGTGAGGAGGTGTGGATCAGAACCCATCCCTCCCTCAAGAAACATCTTCTTTCCAAAAAATACAAAAATTAGCTGGGAGTGGTGGTGGCTGCCTGTAATCTCAGCTACTTGGGAGGCTGAGGTGGGAGAATCAGTTGAACCGGGAGGTGGAGGTTGCAGTGAACTGGGATCAAATCACTGCACTCCTGTCTGGGTGGCAGAGGAAGACTCCATCTCCAAAAAATAAAAATAAATAAATAAATAAATGAATAAGAGAGAAGGAAAAGAAAAAGAAACATCTTCTCCGTCTACTTCCCTTCACTGCATTCTGCCCTTGAGTAAGGGACTATAAGACAGTTTCCTCTGTTACTTCCATTTGATCCCAAATACATGAAATCTGGCAGATACTCATTTTTTTAATAGGCAAAATGTGTATATATTTATACTGTACGACATGATGTTTGGATATCTGTATACACTATGGTTTATTCAAGCCTGTTAAAATACGCATTATCCCACATACTTACCATTCTTTTCTGTGATGGCAATACTCAAAATCAACTTTCAATAATTTTCAAATATACAATAGATTGTTATTAATTATAATCATGCACAATAGATCTCATGGTCTTCCTGTCTAACTGAAATTTCATATTCTTTGACCAACATCAAAAAGATGAAAGATAAAAAAAATGTTGGCAAGAATGTGAAGAAAAGGGAATTCTTGTAAACTGTGGGTGGGAATGTAGACGAGTACAGCCATTATAGAAAACAGTATAGAGGTTCCTCAGAAAATTAAAAATGGAATTATCGTATAATCCAGCAATCCCACTTCTGGGTATGGTATATACCCAAAGGAAATGAAATCAGTATGTTGAAGAGATATCTTCACTCCCACGTTCACTGCAGCACTATTCACAAAAGTCAAGGGATGGAATCAACCTAAGTGTCCATCAGTGGATAAATGGATGAGGTAATAAATACACGTGGAATACTACTCAGCCTTGAAAAAGAAGGAAATCCTGTCATTCATGACAACATGGATGAACCTAGAAGACACTGCGTTAAGTGAAACAAGCCATGCAGTTTCTCTTTAGTATTAATGGTAATTTATTCTAGATGAATTCCCTTTTTGGATCTTTTCACTTCAGTGAGTTTCAGAGAAGGGAAAGGGACTGTAAGCAGGAGTCTGCGGTCTGCAACATTTTCATTGCATTTATCTTGCGGTATCTGAATGACTAATGCACTGGTCTGTCTCCCTTCTCTGTCCAGAAGCTCTTAGAGGTGGAATCCAAGTTGCAGTCACCATTCTAGCACATTTTAGGTGTGTCATAAATATTCATAGGATAACATTTTCACTAAAGATTGGAAGGCTGAGTTGGGTTGAAGGGCTTTTCAATGCCTTGGTCAACTTCTTGCTCAAGAGGTCTCCTCCATCTGAGATGAGCACTGCCTGAAAATAAATATTAGTAGAAACAGGAAACCTCATGCTTGGTCTGCTCTTTGGTGACACGGAGAAATAGAAAGAGCCACACTGGCTGCTTAAGATGGTGACACTGACCAGCCTCAACCCCTAAAGACTGTGCATGAGGTAACCTTTATCTCCAGCTCAGAGGAACTTCAACCTCAGCTACCACTCATTTAACAGATGTATCCAGAGCATTGGAGCTCATCACTGAGCCAGGAGCTGGGGAGACTGCAATGGCCATTACAGACTTAGTGCCTGTTCTTGTGGACTTTACAGTGGAGGAGAGAAGGTGGATGATGAATAACTGAATGTCAGACAAGAGCAGGAGGAGCATAAGGAAGGGATGGCAGTGGCTACAGGAGTAGACAAATGAATCCTCAGAAAGCAGGGCAGGCTGATAGGAGAGGACTTCACGGAGGAGGTAGCATTTCATCTGAGTTATTCTGCAGAGGGAGAGGAAAGGTTATGCACCAAGCAGAGAGAAGGGCATGTGCAAAGGACTTAAGGTGGGGAAATAACTCTTCATCCAAGGAGCAGAAGGCCAATAGGAGAGGGACCTTGGGCAGCAAGGAGTGAGGAGTGGTTCATGGAGCCTAAAAGACAGGCAGAGGTTTGCATCCAGTGGACCTTTCCCCATAATCTATCAGACCTGAGATGACACTCATCTACACAGGGGATGTACACATAAGGGCAGGTGGGTTCAAATGATGTCAGCCACATCTACAAAATGAATTTCAGATTAACTAGAGAATAGCCACATTTTGGAAGGGTTTTGCAACTCACAGACATGGAATGGGGTTGCAATGAGAGAGTCACTTGCTTGTTTTCTCTGTGAATATTTACTGAGCATCTATTAGGTGCCAGGCAGTGAGGACACAAAGTTGGGCAAATACAGTGTGGTCTTATCCTCTTGTGGGGAATGTTGAGTAGAGAAAGACAGTAAGTATGAATAAGTCATTTATATAATAAGGAGAGTGTGGTAAGTGTTAGGATGGAGGAAGCGGAAACCTGGCCCACCTCGGAGCTCTGGAGACCTTCCCCTCCATCCCCTCCAGCAGCGCAAAATGTTCACAGGAGCCACTCTTGGCACCAAGTGCTTTGCATGCTTTGGTTCTGACAGCCAAGATGTTGTGGTGCTTTCTGTAACATTTGGCTACGTGGAGCTCTGGGACTATAGTGTCTTGGGGAAGAAAGAGCCACTTCCAATGCCTACCTACGTCTCTTGCTGCTAATCAGACACCTAAGTTTGGACGTGAGGCTAAGTGGAAAATTCTCTGGGACCATTTCCCCAGAGTGAGATGAGCCTGTGTTTCCGTCTCCACCTCATCCCTGAGCTATGCATTCAGACCTAATCTCCCTGCAGCTCTGTAGCTGATCCTTAGAGACTCTTTCATTTGCCAAAAAAACAAAATGGAGTGGAGATGGAAATTGTGTGTCAACTTTTAATGAGCCCCCAGGTGTTAGTGAAAGTCCCATGGCTTGTTCACTAACAAAACTTAGAATTGGCTTCCTGGGGATTGCTATGCAGTGGAGTTCCGCGAGTTGTGCAGACAGTTGTCCCACTGGGATATCTTTAATACCAATCAAGGCTCTAACCATGTTCTTCTCTGTTGTGTCTACCAGAAAAGATACCTGGGGGCTTTGAGCGATGGGCACTGAGAGTCTTAGAGCGGGGTTGGAGGTGGTAGGTTCAGATACATTTTACTAATTGCTTGGTTTGGAGACCCCATGACATCACTTCAATTGCATGCTCCAGGGGCTTTTCTTCTTCTTAAAACAGAGACCAGCTGATCACCACTGTGAATTGTTCATTTCTCTTCAGTCTCATAAACACACATTAATGATTAAGGGGAGACTTGTAGCGTAGTCTGGATAGTTCCTTGCTTCACAGCACTGACTCATATCAGACAGACTCAGGTTCAATTCCTGGCTTATCCACTCCCTGGCTGTGTGGCTTTGGTAAAGTGAATTGATCTCTCTGCACCTCCATCTGCCAATTGGGAGGTTAATATTAACAGCACCTGCTTTCATTTCAGTGTGCAACTCTGGGCTGTACTGCCGGATCACAGGTGCATCACCCCACACATGAGCAATCTTGCAGGGGCAAGGGCTTGATCTGACTCACCTTTGAGTCTATAGTGCCCAGGTCTTTCTGTCCCAAAAGCCTCCAAACCATCCCCTGCTGGTCAGGCTGGGTATTAAGCCCTGACTCTGGGATTTGCACTGACTCCCACTAAGCAATAGTGGAAGAACTGACAAAAAACAACTCCTCCCCTACTCCCCACCTGAGGAGCAGGACCAATGGGAAAAGATCAGGAACAGGCCAGCACCTGCGCTCACCATTCAATCTCAATAGACTCACGATCCTTCAGAAGCTCTCGTGCTTCTTGCCGGCAGCGTTCCTGGAATTCTGGGTGCTTTGCGAGGTGGTATAGGACCCAGGAGAGACCACTGGCTGTGGTGTCATGGCCTGAGGGGCAGCCAAGCAAAACCGGGTTTCTGGGCTGCTTCAGCACAAGAGGGTGGACAGCACCCATACACTGAGGCCATCCAGGAGAATGTAGGGAGCGAGAGGATGGGCAGAATGGAGTGATCCAGGGTCCACCCACCACATCGCTGGGATGGAGAGGCCCCTGTCCCCACTGTAGTCCCACACTGAGACCCTCACCCTCAAACATGAAGGTGTCAGCTTCTGCTCTTATGTCCTCATCAGACAACTCCTTCCCGTCTTCATCCTGGAGAGAAGGCAAGACAATACCCCTGCCCCAAATCACACCAGCTCTGGGGGCTCTTGAGTCAAACCTAAAACAATTTCTGAAGATCCATCCTCCTTCCAGAAAACGAAGCCCATCGTGCACTCCTAGATGTCTCTTGGTCACCACCTTCAGAGACTACCACCCACATGCTTCCCGTTGGATTCTCCTATTTGGCCCTGCTGGGAAGAGTCAATGACCTGTGAATATTATCTTGTCTCTGAATAATGAGGACTTTTGGAGTGAAACATTACTGGCAACCTGGGTTACAGCATATTTCAATGGCACTTTGGCTTGGAGGTTAGAAATTGAGTATTGCTCTGAAGATATTTGCTCACATTCTAGAGTGGTAAACTCAGAGAATCCTTCTTATCTTTCCAGAAGGCATCTGGGTTATAAACCTATAACACCACCACCTACATTATAAATCTATAACACCATGCACTTACGGGCATGGACATCTCATTGGAGAGGAGTAGATTTTACTGCAGAACAAAGCAAACATTCTCTCTCTCTCTCTCTCTCTCTCTCTCTCGCTCTGTCTCTCTCGCTTTCTCTCTCTCTCCCACTCTCACACTCACCCTGGAAGGAAGAAGGGGCAGATGTGCTAGCTATCCTATGTAAGCTCCAAGATGTATAATGTGGGGCCCCCTCTCTGCAGTGCCTTCTGGTGTATTTACAGGTAAAACATTGTGCTACCCTAGGAGGAATATGGGAATGGAGAGCCAGCTCTACAATCCTACTCTTGTGGCTGTTATTGCTGTGAATGATTAAAACAGGCTGCTATGATCCAGGGGTTTGGTGCATCTGTCATCATAGATATAGACATAGACATATAGATATGCATTAAAATGTGTCAGACTGACTTACTAACATGTAAGTAAAATCTCAGGCCCCTCACTATTTCAAACTTAGCGGTCCCCTGCCAGCTGAATTCCACAGAGTCATCTCTCAAACCTATCTCTGACCTGTCTTTTTCAAGCATGTTCCATGGCTCCCACTGCCCTCTGGATCAAGTCCAAGTTCTCTCATTTGACATTGGCATAAATCTCCACTCTGTTACTTGAATTCACATCCCGGAGAAGCCCACCTTGCTCAGCAGAAGCACATCAATGAAGTCCAAAGTCTTGGACTTTGCCTTGTTCTTGAGGAAATCATCAATACCCTGAGTGGGGAGGGTTCGGTGCCGCTCCTGGATGACGGCATCTGTGAAGTCATGTACCAGGTGGCAGGCCCTGCGGAAGCGCTGCCCATCAGGAGTGAGATGATACAGGAAGTCCGTGTGCAAGAGAATATGCTGGTTTCTTTTTTCTATAAGTGCACTGAGCTCCAAGATGGCGGCAATATATTCACTGGGCTTCCTGCATGAGGGAGGTAACAACTTAACATATGCAAAGTCCCAGGAGCACCTCTCACCAGCAGCTAGAAGTTACTGCCCATCAGGAAATGGAGTATCCAGAAACAGCCAGGAGACTTGACTCTCCAAACTCCCTTCTCTCCAGGCATCCCATCTCTGAGAGCTGCCTCCATGCACCTAGGTACCCAGAGCATAGCTTGGACACCATGCTTCTCTCCTGTCTCGGCCACCCAGTATCAAGCCTAGACTCTTTTCCTTCCAAAAACTGTTCACAAAACTCACAAGACCTCACTGTCTTCCAGCTCTTTCTGGCCCAGCCCCCACCGTAACCGACTTGCATCCAATGTCAGCTCCGTGTCGTGTCTACATGACAGGCAGACCTCCACAGAGCTCAGTTGTGACTGCACCTGTCATCAGTCCAACTCCCTTCAAAAGATTCCTAGGAACCTCCTGATAAAGTTCATGCCACTTTTCCTGATTTTCAGTGTCCTGAAATCTATCCCCTGTCTACTTCCACAACCTGATTTCTACTGTCTGTTGTGCATGCTTGCCTCATACTAGTCGTCTTGCCTATACGCAAATATTTCTACCTACTTGAAAGGACTGTACTTTCTCTCTCCCCTTCCCCATCCTTCAAAGCCCAGCTACAACACATAGAAAGTGCCTTCAGAAAGGCACTTCTGCTTATCCCGGTCAGTCATCCTTTTCCAACCTACTCCCTTGGGTTCGTGGCCCAAGTTCTCAGGCCATAGGAAAGGACTCACTCCTGACAATTGCTTTCAAAGCTGAAGACGCATTTCTGCAGACTGTCCAAGGTCATAAGGCTGAGGTGCTCAAACATGTCCAGTCTGGCGCTGCTCTCCGAGGCCAGGCACTGCCACTTGTCCTGGCCAGAGTAAAAACAGAGTTGAAGCTGGGAACTGCCTCCTGTGAGCGCCTTCCCAGACCCAAACACCAAGATGGATCCCCTCAATCATCCTTCTGGTCCTCTGCCCCAGGCACCCATCCCCAGGAAGGACCAGCTTGGATAGGACCAGAAACTGTTACTATTAGGAGATAAAGACTCATGGCTGGGAGTCGAGAGACCTGGGTTCAAGTCCCAGCTCAGCCTCCTATGGTCTGTGTGCACTTGGTCAACCTCCTGCACTCCTGTAGGTCCCATCTATCAAATCTTCAGTAACAATTAAGACAACATGCTATGGGGCCTGATAACTAGGGTGGAATCACTGCTCCACCACTCCTAGCTCACTTACTATCTGTTTGAACTTTGGTGAGCTCCCTAATCTCTCTGGTCCCCAGTTTTATCACCTGCAATAGGGCAAAACCAACCACAACCTCACACAGTTATTAAAATTAAATTAGAAAAAGTGTATCATGGAGCTGGCAAATGGCACTGTTTCTGGCACATGGTGAGTGCTCAGTAAATGTTGGTTTTACTCATCTCCATTGCTATAAATTCATTTCAAAAATATCCCTGTTGTGGTAGGGGAATATTACACACTGGGGCCTGTCAGGGTTTGGGGGCAAGGGCAGGGAGAGCATTAGGACAAATGCCTAATGCATACGGAGCTTACAACCTGGATGATGGGTTAGTGGGTGCAGCAAGCCACCGTGGCACATGTATACCTATGTAACAAACCTCCACGTTCTGCACATGTATCCCAGAACGTAAATATCTATATACACACACACATATGTATTTATATAATTTATATAAATTATATATATGCATTTACACACACACATACACACACACACACACACACACATGTCCCTGTTGTGAGAGGGACTCCTCCATCAGATCTGAGCATCTCTCTGGGTATGCCAACAATGCCAGACCTGTTGTTCTTACTTGGGCCACTTCTCAGAGTTGTTTTTGCAGAGAACAACATCGAGAGACAAGGCCATGGCTCCTCCTGGACCAATATCAAGCTTGCTTCTGCTTGCTATAAAAGCAGATTCCCTAAGTCTAGTGCTCCTTTCCTCCCATGCAATGCACTGCATGAGCAGGCAACTATTGAAACCTCTCTGTGGCATCCTGTGGGATTTGGGTGGTTTGGAGAAATGATGCAAACCAAGAACATACTGCTTGCTATGCCATGAGTAATAAATAGTCATTTGTCTCTGACCCAGGACTCTCGTATCTCCTAGCAGAATCCACGAAGTATTAACAAAGCTAGCTTATCAGCTTGCAAGTAAGTAAAACATCTTAAGCACTTCACAAAATACCAACTCCCAATTCTTCACTCCTCCCTGTATTCACACACTTTGCACTATGAATTTCCAGCAACTTCTATTAAGACATGGAGCCTATTTTATGCCCGTTTGAGTCTGTGCAGACCTAAGCCTGGTTGAACTTTGAAACATTGCAGAGAGAATGTCCAGAGACATTGTAGTGTCCTCACAGTCTCTCAGAACCCAGTCTATGCCATGTGAACAGCAGGTGCCTCCTGGAGGCAGAGAAACACATGGAGAAAAGTCCAGGTGTCACAGCTGAGGCCATTCTAGATTAACCTGAAGCTAGTGAAGCTCCAAACAAACACGTGAATAAACTGAGCCAGGATCAGCAAAACTGCCCACTGACCCACCTGACTTGCTCATGTACCAAGAGTGATCCCATCCACATGCAGAAGAACCAGCCAACTGTCTCACACACTTGTTAGGTATCATAAGCCCTTATTGCTCTAAACCAATGAGTTTTGAAGTGATTTGTACTCAGCAATTGCGACTATGCAATCTTCACCTTTACTCTCTTGAGTTTGAAGGGTTTCTGTGAGAGAAACATGGAAACTCACACCTCTGAGACCTACCATGTGCCAGGGATATGATTCCATTATGTCATCTTACCACCTTTTAAGTAGAGATTATTATCCTCATTTTACAGATCGGGAACCCGAGGCTCAGAAAGGAAGAACATTGGCCCCAAAGCACAACCAAAATTCTAGACCAGATATGCCTGTGGTCCCTCTGCCCCGAGGCTCCACTGGAACCCATAGTTCAAGGGACTCACATGCATGATGTTCACACTCTTGTTGAAAATCTTCATATAAGGCATCAGGATGTTGAAATGGAAGGCAGGAGTCAGCATGCGAAGGTGGTGGCTCCACTTGTCACCATCACTCAGCAGGAGCCCAACCCCTAGCAGGGCAATCAAGAACAGTGGTCAAGGGCAGCACCCTCCCTTATCCCTAAAGGATATCCCCAACCCCATTCACCTGTAATTACTCACCCAGCCAGGTCTTCATGAAGCCATAGAAAATCATATCGTTGGGTGCGACAGTAGCTGACATGATTGAGGGCCTTCAGGGGCCGTGGAGAGGGGTAAGAGAAGGACTTTGAGTATGGAGGAATGCTCCCAGCCAGGGGTGTGCACTTCCACTTTTCCCACCCAGCATAGCAGGAAAAAGGCCAAGGGTAGAGGAAGAAGGGAGGATGGTGGAGGAAGGAGAGACTAGACCAGGTTGCAGCAGCACAGCAATAACACAGCATGCTCCAGCACACAATGACATATCTCCTACATGGTCCAACATGTTCTGCAACACCTGAGCATAGCTCAACACTCTACAGAATGCCTTTACAGGGATCTAGGACACCCCATATGTCCCCAGCACTCTCTGCTACCTTCTGACATGGATCTGGGACCTGGGATATTGCCCTGATATGTCTTAACATTCGTGACATGGCCAAAATACACATGCCAAACCCTAAATGACACAACGTGCTCTCCCATGAGCCTGAGATGGTGTAACATGACCTCTGTGAACTCCAATGACGGGTTCAGATAACATTTAAATATGATACCATTAATGGCCTAAACATGGCCCAGGTGTAACCAAGCCTATTCTTCAGGCGTAATTCAAATCTACCCTAAGACCTAACTCGACTAAGACTCAAATAATACCTCACACAGTTCTCAAAGAGACCCTGGGTCCTACACCTTGGACAAGCACCAAACATGGCCAAGACATGTGAAGCAGGATAAAAAGACAATCTCACCCTACATCTCAGACAAGAACCAAAAAGACTTTGACATGCCCCAAATGTCCTCAGCCACAGCTGAGCCCCACACATGATGACTTCTCTGTGTGATCCCAGGTGGAAGCATATACCAGATACAATCAAATATAATGTAGAAAACACAGGCTATCTCGGACCCTTGGGAGAAAGGTGGGCTTTCTGATAGGAACTGGGCTTCTGAGACTCATCATTGACACCATATGAAAAGGCAGAGTGACACAGAGAATGATAAAACCAAGAGGAGACAGATTCCCAGTGATGTGGATTGACACCTGGATCCAACTATGCCTGAAAGCCACTCTCTCCAGACTTTATGGCCCACTGATTCTCTTTATTTGCGTAGGCCACGTGAGTTTCAGTTTCCATCACTCACAACTGAAAGAGACTTCAGCAGCCAGAGAGAGCAGAGGACCTGCCCAGAGTCACTCACCATCTTGAGGTTACAGCCATAGTTTCTGTGGGATGCTGCCCCTGCCCCTGCTTAGCCTGGCCTGCTCAAGGACAGGATGAGCAAAGGGAAAGAAAGGGCCCCAGACTGGAGTGGGATCTCCTACTGGAGATTCCTGGGGCCTGGAGCAGGAGAGCCATGAATAGGGTGGATGAGTGACAGGACACGGTAGAAGGAATAAACTCACCAGAGGTGAACATCACATAAATCACAGCCCAGATTCTCCACCAGCCTCAAATCCTCCTAGTGCAGTAGACTTAGGGACAGACAAGGCTGATACCAGGCCTGGCAGGGGGACCTGGATACTCATAATGTCCACTGCATCACCCTTCCCTTGCTTTAAAATCTTTTTACTCATTTTTACAGCAACCCCTCCTCCAGGAAGCCTTCCAGCCTGCCCCAGCAAAGACCTTGTTCTCTGGGTTGTCGCACCCATCTCCTTCTCTCGATTCCTGACTCCACAAAGTTTGAGATGTCTCTGTCCACATCCATTTCCTCAAGCATGGGGCTTCTTCGAGGACAGTGCTCTCAATGGAGGCTTCTTGGGGCCCCAGTGGTGCCCAGCACAAAATGGCAGGGACAGATGGTAGTGGACGGAGGAGATGCTGACATGGGGGTTGGTGAATACACAAAGGAAAGAGGAACATGGCTGAGAGAGAAGCAGGAAGAGGGGCCTGGACCCTGCAGGGCCCACATGGAAGCTTGGGGGAAGAGAGGATAGAAGGCCTCAGATATTTCCCAGCACCTATCATCCCAAGCTCTGCATGGGTGCCTGAGGCACTGGTGATAGAACGGATGATGTCAGGGTGGCATAAAATGAGGAGGGGGAAGGTAGGACCCATCCAAAACTTAAAGCTCTGGGGATAGGTGGCCACCAGCTGGGTGAACTTCTTCACGCCCTCTTCCGTGGGAGTGATCTGAAAGCAAGGCAGAGGCCATCAACCCTTGTAATGGTTAATTCTAGGTGACCTGAATTAACCATGGTTTCCACATGACTGAGCTAAGGGATACCCAGAAAAAACATACTGGTAAAACATTATTTCTGGATGTGTCCTTCCGTGTATTTCCAGAAGAGATTCGCATTTGAATAGGTAAACTGAGGAAGGATGATCTGCCTCCCCAGTGGGGGTGGGTTTCATCCAACCCTTTGATGGTGCGGATAGAACAAAGAGGCAGAGGAAAGGGTGGACGTGAGCTCTCTTCTGGGGCTGGCTCATCCATCCGCTCCTGTTCGTGGACATGAGAACTCCAGGTTCTCAGGTCTTTTGGGACTCCGACTGAATTTACACCACCAGTGTCCCTGGATTCTGGCTTGCAGATGCTATATCACGGAACTTCTTGGCCTCCATCATCGCATTTTCCAATTCCCATAATAAACGAACTCTCTGTCTCTCTCTCTCTCTCTGTCTCAATATATGCTTCAGAGATAAGAGGAAGGATATCCTATTGATTCACTTTCTAAAGAGAACCTGAGTAACGCAACTCCCCACCAGGAGCCACAGCAAGTTCCCCCCGCAGCCTCCAGATGTGGTGCAGCCTCTGCCCTGAGCAGCGTGTCTGGATTCTGAACGGCTGCAGAGAATCTCTGCTGACCCCTGCTCCTTCTCTCTTGGGACTGTCCCCAAGATCCAAAGATAATGGCTGGGCACAGTGGCTTGTGCCTGTAATCCCAGCACTTTGGGAGGCCATGGTGGGCCGAGCACCTGAGGTCAGGAGTTCGAGACCAGCCTGGCCAACATGGTGAAACCCCGTCTCTACTAAAAATACAAAAATTAGCCAGGTGTGGTGGCTGACACCTGTCATCCCAGGTACTCAGCAGGCCGACGCAGGAGAATCACTTGAACCCAGAAGGTGGAGGTTGCAGTGAGCCTAGATAGCACCACTGCATTCCAGCCTGGGAAACAGAGGGAGACTCTATCTCAAAAAAAAAAAAAAAAGAGAGAGAGAGAGAGATCCAAGAGTAAATACCAAGGCAGAGGGAAAAGGCAAGCTGTCTGCTCAAGAGGATGTATTTTCTCATCTTGGAAATGATTTCAATCTGGGGACGGCCACACGGAAAAGTCCCCACGGAAGGAGGTTTGTAGACAGCAGTGTGGCCTCAGGACGTGTCCCTGTGGCTGGTTCCCACATCCCTCTCACATCCCATCTGGTCTGCATGGGCTGCTGTTGCTCCCACACTGGGGACCTTCCGTTCTCAGCAGCCCCCAGGGGCACAGGAGTGACTCTAACTGTCCACAGTCAGCCCCTCCCGCAGGCCAGGCTCTGTGCTAGTGCGTCCTGTGCACCCTCCACTGCACCCGTGGACACGCCCATCAATCATGCATTTACAAGTGAGCAGACCAAGGCCATGTCCCTCAAATGGGAGAGCAGGTGTAAGTCAGAGGCCAAGGTCTGGGGAGTCAAGGGCAGCTTCTGAAAAGAGAAGGGAGTGACCAGCTTTTATTCAGGCAGGCAACAAGGCTGACTGGGACATGTTAGTGAGGAAGAGCAAGATAGGAGGAAGCTGCCTCCAGAAAAGAGACAGTGGGAGACTGCCCACACTTCTCTTCTGGCCCCG